TGGGGGGGAGGGGGTGAGACAGACAAAAAATACCGTGTCCAATCACTATTGCCTAATTTGCTCGTTCTAAGTATCGACAACGCCAAGATTGAATTGTACTTCTACTCTGCTTAAATAAATATCCGCATTTTTGCGTAGGTAGTTACACTCCAACGAAGTCATGTCGAATGTACTATTAATCGACTTTATTTCCTTCTATTGTTACTCACTTTCCAGTTTTATTTAATTCAAATTGTGGCCACTTTCAAGTGCTTCAACTTGCTATATTTCCTCATTGATGCAGGGTTAATATTTGTTGAGGTTAAACAAAATTTTTTTTGAAATGTTATTTTTATTACCCGAAGGACTTTCCTTGCGTAGATAATCTCTTGCATCACCTGGGTTCATTTTTTATATACTCATGTCTGAGCAATTTACAGTTGGTTTTTTCATATGAGCTATTCAAACTCTAGACTGCTAATAAATCTAGCGATGCCCACAACTGTTTCATCTTTTTGTTTTAAACCGTAAGATTAAGTTCCCTTTCTCTAAATTCTAACAAATCGATAATGATTATTGGCACATCGGTTAATATCTCCAGTCACTTAATGATTTTACAGTGCCTTGCAATTTTTGTTTCTTTACTAATGAGCATTTACGCTTAGATGAATTATCTACCTTTTTCCTCACTTTTTTTCCAGTGCTGTACGATCAAAAATTGAAACAAATGGAGAATTGTTTGGATGATCCGGACGCGCTTCGACTAATTCTCAATGACGTGAGTTTTTAATCTCAAGCATTTAATTTTCATTTGGCTACAGGAGAAATACAGCACATGGTTGTTTTTTTCATTATGACTTGACTGAGATTACCTTTACTTCACCAATGCCCCCCCCCCCTATCCTCAGTGATTCTCTTAGTTCTAGTAAATTTTTCCGAACTGGTGATACACCAGAACCAGGACTGGTTAAGTTGTCTTGCTCTTAAAATGAAGGTCGCCTCTCCTGTGTATTTACTAAAACTACACGTTAATAAGCAGAATGAGATTAAAGCCAATTGTGGGGTGGGTGGTTTTATCTTGAGCACCCATTGCCCCCTTCATGAGTTAATCGGAGTTCAAGGTTTATAGATGAATCAGCCTCATTCGCTTTATTAGAACTCGCCAGCATATTGTGCAAAGTTTCCTGAATACTTTGTGTGACAAAATTAATGCATTTCTATTGTTACCTCCTTTTCTGTCAGCGTTTCCTGTTTATTCGCAGTTCGATTTCTATTGTCTGATCTATTTATCCCTCCCTCCCTCCATCCTCTCTCTCTCTCTCTCTCTCTTGGGTCTTGCTTCCCTCTCCTTAAGCTGAAGTTGCTATTTTTTTTCATTATCCCCCTTAGCTTACTTTTTTTAATTAGCACTGAGGAAGATATGCTCTCGTTGTTTCCACTACCTTCTGGAGGGAGCTGCTCCTAGTTGCATTGGGATGATGCATTCAAATGCTTCTATTAAAAGATCGCTTGCGACCAAGGAACATATTCACAGAAGAGTTTCTTCGCGTTCCGACTTAAGTTGTAAATTAGTCAAGTGCACAATTGGAAACGATTTAAAAGTCATGTGGTGTGTGGGGGGGGGGGGGGGGNGGGGTCGTGAAGGGGAATTCCTGTGGCTCTTCTCATAAGACCTACTTTCATTTTTCCGAATCTCGTGTTCCTGAGTCAGGTGCTGTTTTAGTTAGTTTCAGCTATTTGATTGGAATATATTTATTTATTTCAATTGGCAGGTGTTTTGATAGTTATCGTTAGCCCTTTAGCTGACTTCGGGCTTCACAAAGGGGAGGAACAGAAGAGTGTTTCAAAGATGTAAAAGAGACTGACACAATGGTTGAAAAAAGGTGGGGTGAGTACTGTAGAAGTAGTCAAATATGACATACAGTGTGGTGAGGGCAGTTTAAAGTCAGAAGTCAACTGCCGGTTTCTAGACTTTTTTGCCGTATGAGTATACGTTGCCCAGAGTGCAGTTAAAAGACTTTTTTGCCGTATGAGTATACGTTGCCCAGAGTGCATCACGTGGAGGTAAGTCTATCGCACTCCCCTTGATTGGAATATGCAAAGCTGGGATTAAAGTTATTTGTTTTTCGGATGAAATGGAAAAGTAATCGGTCACAGCAATCTAGAGTTATCACCGTGCGACATGACTGTTTATATAAGTGAAGTTATGCAAATGCGATTCTCTCACCTGAAGACTTGGATTTTAGTGTGCGAAAGCAAATACACTTACCGATCATTGAACCTAAAGGTGACCTTCTTGGCTTATTCTACTAGATGTTCTGGGGGGGGGGGGGGGGGGGGGGGGGGAAAAANGGGGGGAGGGTAAAATATCTATTCTATGGCTAAAGTTATCGGTATTGCCTTATGCAGGCAAATGATCGTTAAAATTGTGCAGTTGAAGATGTTATCTTCCTTCTTTCATCTTACAACATGGAGGTAATATTGCAACTCGATCGCCAGGGCTCTCTTTTATCTCTCCTCCCTATTTGGTGGCAGCACTATTTAAAGCTGAATATTTTATGTTCGAGTAGCATTCGCAATGCAAACATCAACTTATCAATGCTGATCAGTACTATTTTTTTTTATTTCTGACTTATTGCTTCAACACTTGCGTGAGTCCTGTTGGCTTAAAGAATGATCTTTTCTCTTACAACACGAGCACATTAAGAGGATGACTATGCAGTCTCCCCGTCTCCTTATTCTTTGCCCTGTTGGATGTGTATTGTAATTTAACTATTCTACGCACAAGGTTGCTCAATGGAATGATGGGAGATGTTTCTTTGAGCAAAATTTTTGCCGAATTAAGAACTTGAAGCAGATTTCCAAATGTGTGTGCAATATCTATAATCATTAGGTCTAAGAAAACTCTCTCTCTCTCTCTTCACTGTGTATGGGAATCGGAATTTGTTCTATTTGTCCAATTCACGTCCTCAAAATAAATGTCTAAGTAAAAGAATTTGTTAGTACTGATGACATTGCATTATCTAGTTAATGGACATTTGTGTCGTCACGAAGTTTACCATGTTATCAAGTTAGAACTTACTTACCATTTATTTGCTATTCTGATCTAAAAGCGCGTCCTTACTTTCTCTCTAAAATGTTGATTCACTAAAAAGCGATACGAATTCGGTTCACACTTCCTTCAAGTCTAAACTGCATAGTTGTGTCCTCATAAACTTGTTGACGAGGTCATTTGTCATTAAAAGCGCGCTCTTGTATACCTCGGTTGTAGATGTATGGTCGTTCTGAATCTACTTGCTGGTTGCTTAAATTGAGTCTAGTTTGAAGACCTGATTAATGTATATATATATATATATATATATATATATATAAGGAATAACATTGGATTTGATTTAGAGGAAAATCTCACTGCGAACTGAGGTATGAATAATTGTTTGTGTGTGTATGTGTGTGCTGATATTGTTCAATAAGTTTTAGAGTGGATAACTAACCACTTAACTATTGGCTGCAATTGGTGACCTCTAATTATTATTTAACGATTTTTGAATTGCCATTATCTTGCGATTCGCGAACACCTTCCACTGTTGGTGTGAATAATTTTTTTAGAATTTCCTATTTTTTTTCTCTTACTTAGACATGGCGATGAGTGTTTGCGGTTCTATACTCATTTACCAGTTTGCATGACTAACAATGGTGTCTGTAACGTGGGAGAACGCACTAGGTTTCAGCTATGATCTTTGCAATAAAAATGTCAAGTGGAATATACCAATTTGTCTCACTGTGTGGTTATATTTAATTTTTGATAATTTAAGGCATTTGATCTTCAAAGAGAGCGTACGCTCTCTCAGTAGTGAAAACGTCCCTATTCTTTTTCTTCTTTATTTTGTGAATTTTATAATTCAGGCACAGTGAATTCTCATCCTCCTCTAACTATATTGACACCAAATGATGTGTTTTGATTAGGCCTCCTAATTTCTGGGGAAATCGCAGTGTTTTTTCTTGAAAAAGTAATTATCCCCACCTCCAACTTATTGAAATATTTCTATCGTATAAAATGATTTAGCTTTGTCACTTTTGCTTGAACCACATCAAAAATAAGAAATCAACTGGCAGGTAAAAATGCAATCTCTCAACTTTTTGACTTTGATTCATGAATTCTTAAGGCCTTTTTTTCTCAAGGGAGTTCGCAGTTCTAATCGAATCTATGCAACTATGCAAGTCCTTAGTCCATGGGAAACACCAAAAACTTGACTCCAGTTAGAACCATTTTTCGCCGTTCATAAACAGCATAACACCTTGGTACTCTTGGAGTTGGGAGCATTAATAAAGAATTTATTTATTTATATCAAATGGCAGGCGTTTTGATGGTTATCATTAGCCCTTTAGTTGACTTTAGGCTTCACAGAGGGAAGGAACATCAAAATGAAACAAAGTCGAGAGGGGGGGGGAATAGAAGAGTATTTCAAAGACGAAGGTAGAAAAAGGTGAGGTGAGTACTGTGAAAGGAGTCGAATATGACATACAGTGGGGTGATGGTAGTTTGAAGTCAGAAGTCAACCGTCGGTTAATAGACTTTTTTGCCGTATAAGTATACGTTGCCCAGAGTGTATCACGTGGAGGTAAGTCTATCGCGCACCCCTTAATAAGGAATTAAAGTTCAGCTAATGAAGCTTCAAAGTGAGATAGTGGTGTATAGGTCAAATAAATTAGACGTGGAATAATGCCCATCTGTCAGGTATGGCACGTTTCTAATATTCAGCGTTTTGTTGATTTTTTTCTCGCTTAATCACCTTTGAAGCCATTTTTAATTTGCTTTTTTCTGCGGTGTCATTACTACTAATTATCCGACCACTTTAGAGACAAATTATTAACTATTCACGTTGTAATTCCATATATTTTTTGGAAGTTTAGTATTAATGATGGCTTGTAAATGCCTCACTGCCCCGACCCCCTTATCATTTAACGCACTTTCATCTGACTATGACATTCCATCTATAATGTAGAAACAAAGTGATCTCCAAATGGCTGCTCAAATTGGGAAATCTCTGTTGGATAGGAATCGTGAGTTAGATCGCAGACTGAAGGAATCGGAGAACCAGTTTGTAGCTGCTATGGAAACGGTGAGTCTTCTTTTCGTTTTAATAATAATTGAATTAACTATTACAACGAGGCAATTAATGTATTAGTGATTCCTAGAACAGTTGAAAGTTGCCTTCAATTTTTTTTACATCTTAAAGTCAAATCGATGGAAAGGAGACTATCACTGACTATTAAATGCACCTATGAGAAATGGAAGTAACGTTAAGTTTTCAGATGGAGGTCTAGAGAGGTCCCTTTGGCCTCATTGCTCAAGGTCTTTTGTCAATCGAGTTGCTCTGGATGCCAGCTATCATCAAGATGGCAGAAGAAAACGCGTCAGAGAATGCCTAAATAGTGGTGGTTCCACTCTCGTAGAGTGCCTCATCTCCACTGCTTTTAATTAGCATTTAATTGTTGTAGTTAGCATTATTTAAACATGACTTTTCAAACAAACGTTCCAAGTCTATTAGAAGTGTTAGTGATGCTCAATTTAAGTAAAGGGTACTTGCTTGTGAAGTGCTCTTTTGAGAAGTTCGCACCCCTCCAACCTCACATTGACAGGAATTAATTCAGTGTCTGTGCATCTCTGACTTGACAGAAGTGCATGCACCACCTCTTTATACTGCTTTCAAGCGCACATTCCATTGTAAACGTAAATACTCCAATGTGGTTCCTCATTCTCCCTAGACTCCGATATTCCAGTGCCTTTGAAACGGTGAAATGAGATTTCAGACATAGTGGGGAGGGGGGGGCTTTGTAAAATCTTCTCATTTTAATGGGTGTGGACAAATAAAGTGCATGCTGATGACAATGATTAAATTTTCTCCATCAATTTTCTTTAAGATATCCTACTTCATCCTATATGATCATAGCGCTGTTTAAAAAACATTCTTTCGCTGAGAGATTTAAGCCCTAGCATCGTACTACTGTCCTCTTTCAAAATAAGCTCCATTGGCACTAGACTCGTAACAGAAGGCGCTATTACCATTTGAAACATTTTCAATGCGTGCCTATGGCCTTCGCCTGATACACCACCAAAACTCATCACATCGGCGGCATCAGTCTGCTGTGAGGCACGCGTGATTGCGGTTGGGTGCAGTTTCCAAAAAAAATTATTCGGGCGTTAAAGAGTTAATTGCATAAAGTGAATATGCGTTTTTGATCCATATTTTTATGAAGAGGTTATGTATTAAACAGTCTGGGCACTTAAGAAGGGCGGTGTGTCTTCAAGTATTCTTTGAATGAAAAAAATGATTGAAAAATTAGAATGTGGACCGTGGTTACAAACTGTTCGCGAGTGAATGTGTAATGGCAATCAATAATTAGATTTATTTTCCACACAAAT